TAACAAAGTACCAGAAACTGGGTGGCTTAAACAACAGAAATGTTTTCTCATCATTCTAGAGGCTACAAGTCCAAGATCAAGATGTCAGCAGGGTCGGTTCCTTCTGAGGGTGATAAGAGAAAATGCGTTGTGCACCTCTTGCCTAGTTTCTGGTGGTTTGCCAACAATCTTTGGCATTCTTTGGCTTGTAGAAGCATCACCATGATCTCTGCCTTCGTCTTCATGTGGCGCTCCCCCGTATATGTCTCTGTGTCCAAATTTCCTCTTTTTTTGAGGACATCAGTCATTGGAACAGGGTTCCGTGCTAATGACTTCATCTTAAGTAAGTATATCCAAAATGACCCTATTTCCAAAAAAGGTCACATTTTGAGGGATTTGGGGTTAGGAGTTCAATACTTTTTCTGAGGGGGATGGTGGTGATGGACAAAACTCAACCCACAAAATGCATCAGGCGCCTTATGCATATTTTGTGACTTTTATTATAGCAACATTTCCAGGTAGGTAATGTTATCCTCATGTTAGAGATGAGGAAACCGAGGTTAAATAATGAAGTAGTTTGTTCAAGATTGCACAGCCAGTAAGTAGCAGTAATAGGTCTTAGAAACTCAACAACCTGATTCCAGAACCCAGGATTTTTAACCTGCATTGTATTTTCTTATTTCTCTATATATCCTTACCTCCCCTTCTCTTTGCAGTTGCTTGCCAGAAATTGGTCATTAGGTAAAGTTTCTATGACAGCCTAATACTGCCACCTGGTGGTAAAAATAAAGCAGCCTCAAACTTCCTGGTAAAATTGCATCACGCAAAAATGCTGACAGACCTTTTCCCTAATACACCAATGCTGTCAAGCAATGGTGAATTCTGCTTGATCCTACTTTATTTTTATTTTTATTTTTTTGAGATGGAGTCTCGCTCCGTCCCCCAGGCTGGAGTGTAGTGGCGCGATCTTGGCTCACTGCAACCCCTGCCTCCCTGGTTCAAGCGATTCTCCTGCCTCAGCCTCCCAAGTAGCTGGGATTACAGGCATGAGCCACTGTGCCCAGATGATTTTTGTATTTTTGGTAGAGACGGGGTTTCACCATGTTGACCAGGCTGGTCTCAAACTCCTGACCTCAGGTGATCTGCCTGCCTTGGCCTCCCAAAGTGCTGGAATTACAGGCGTGAGCCACCATGTCTGGCCTTGATCCTACTTTAAGCCAAACACAGGGCAGATGAAAAGAGAAGAGAGCAGCACAAACTTTGATCCCCTGAAGGGATATAAATGTTGCTAAAACCTTATACATCAGCAGTCCCTAAGCTTTTTGGCACCAGGGACAGGTTTCATGGAAGACAGTTTTTCCATGGGGGTGGAGGATTTCAGGGTGAAACTGTTCCACCTCAGATCATCAGGCATTAGTCAGATTCTCATAAGGAGCACACAACCTAGATCCCTCGCATGCGCAGTTCACAATAGGGTTCCCACTCCTATGAGAATCTAATGTCGCCACTGATATCACAGGAGGCGGACCTCAGGCAGCATTGCTTACTCACTGCCTGATATGCAGCCCGGTTCCTAACAGGCCAGGGACGGGTCCCAATCATTGGCCTGGTGGCTGGTGATCCTTGTTATACATGGTATTATTTTGTGTGTGTGTGTGTGTGTATGTATGTATGTATGTATTTATTTATTTTGAGACGGAGTCTCACTCTGTCGCCCAGGCTGGAGTGCAGTGGCGTGATCGGCTCACTGCAACCTCCCCCTCCCAGGTTCAAGTGATTCTCCTGCCTCAGCCTCCTGAGTAGCTGGGACTACAGGTGCACGCCACCATGCCCAGATAATTTTTGATCTTTAGTAGAGACAGGGTTTCACCACATTGACCCGGATGATCTCGATCTCCTGACCTCGTGATCTGTCCGCCTTAGCCTCCCAAAGTGCTGGGATTACAGGCGTAAGCCACCGCGCCCAGCCTGTACATAGTATTATTCTGTTTTAAAAACCAGTTTCTCCTGGTGTCCTGGCTCTGAAGACTCATTCTAGTCACTATTTCTTTCTGCTGTTCAAATTCAAGATTCAAGAATAACTTAAAATTCTTTAGCCATTAGTAACCATTTACTGTTCTTTGGAAGAAAGAAGGAAGGGGCTGTACAGAATAAATTGCTTTGTTGCTTCTCCATCTCTGGGCTTGCAGTTTTCTAGACCTCATTTGACACCTCTGTCTTCAGTTTGCTATCCACTATTAGGTGTGTCTTACTACCAGCTCAGAAGTAATGTGGGTATAACATGCTCAACAAATTAGAAAAAGAATCATATTGAATAATTTTAGAGCTGGAAGTCACCTTAGATCACACAACCTATTTGCGTTCTCACAGGGGAGGGATGGGACACTGTGCAGGAAAGGAATCTCCGGATTCACTTCTGTGGGGTGTAGCCTGCAAGGAAATGACAAAGATGGGGTTTGGCATCTGAGCCTGAGTCTAGGGCTTGGGTATTGATTGACAGATTTACCAATGATTTATTTTTATCTTGGATGAGAGGCTTTTAGATGCTTTCAACTCCAACATCATGGCAAACTGTGTGCTGAGCTTAGATGGAAGGTGTGCCGCAAGTAATACGTTACCAACCATTCCAGTACCTGTGTTTGCAGATGCTGTTCCTTAAAGAATTTCAAACTAACAAAAATACAGTCCCTAACCTTTTTGGCACCAAGGACAGCTTTCGTGGAAGACAGTTTTTCCATGGGGGTGGAGGATTTCAGGGTGAAACTGTTCCACCTCAGATCATCAGGCATTAGTCAGATTCTCATAAGGAGCACACAACCTAGATCCCTCGCATGCGCAGTTCACAATAGGGTTCCCACTCCTATGAGAATCTAATGTCGCCCCTGATCTCACAGGAGGCGGAGCTCAGGCAGCATATACAGGAGGTGGAGGCTGCAGTGAGCCGAGATCGCATGACCCTGCACTCCAGCTTGGGGAACAGGGCAAGACTCTGTCTCAAAAAACAAACAAACAAACAGACAGAAATGTCTGTCGAGTTGAAGAGACTCAAGTGGTTGTCTGATACATACATTTTATCTGTCATGTGTGTCACAGTAGAAAAAAAGGTTGGGAAATACGGTTTTAAATGGTTGTCTTGGTCCATTTCCTGTTTCTTATAACAGAGTACCTAAAACTGGGTAATTTATAAAGAAACAAAATGTATTTCTCATAGTTCTGGAGGCTGAGAAGTCCAAGGTTGAGGGGCTACATGTGGGAGTGTCTTCTTGCTGGTGGGGACTCTCTAGAGTCCTGAGGCAGTGCAGGGCATAACATGGTGAGGGGCCTGGGGGTGCTGGCTCAGGTCTCTGTTCCTCTTCTTATCAAGCCGCAAGGCCTACTCCTGTGAAAACTCATTAATCCAGGAATGGCTCGATGCATTCATGAAGGCAAAGTCCTCATGACCCAATCATCTCTTAAAGACCCCACCTCTCAATACTGCCACACTGGGGAGTAAGTTTGTACATGAGGTTTTTTTGTCTTTTTTTCTTGGTCGGTTTGTTTTTGAAACAGGATCTCACTTGTCACTCCGGCTGGAGCGCAGTGGCATGATCAGAGCTCACTGTAACCTTGACCTCTGGGCGCAAGTAATCCTTTCACCTCAGCTCCTGCATAGGTGGGACTATAGGCATGCACTACCACGCCCAGCTAATTTTCTTATTTTTTGTAGAGACAGGGTCTCACTATGTTGCCCAGCCTGGTCTCAAACTCTCGGGCTCAAGCAATCCTCCTGCCTCAGTCTCCCAAAGTGCTGGGATTACAGGCATGAGCCACTATGCCTGGCCAACCTGAGTTTTGAAGGGGGAAAACATTCAAATCATAGCAACGATGAAACAAACTTACTAAATTTCCATATGATACTAGCTTAATGAATCAAGCTCAACAGAACATAGCAAACCCTTAACATTTAGCAAATGTTTGTTACATAAGTGAAGTGCAATTATTAGAGATAGAAGTGGAGTTGGGTAAACTCAGGCTAGTAAACCTGAGGAGGAAAAAAGACAGTGAATAACGAAAATGAGGGGTAAGACTGGCTGTGTACAAACACAGAAGAGATCCGGAGGTCCCAGAAGAGACAACACATTAATGAAAAAAGGGAAAGGAAGAGGCTGAGGGTCTGCTCTGATTACAACCTTACTCCCTTTACAGATTAACAGTGGGTCCTCAGTTCAAGCATGAGTGACATAATTAAAGTAAGTTGTTAGCACAATTCACCAGCATCTGTTTACTTGTTACTATGCTTCCTTCTTGGGAGGCATTCCAATTACAATGACTCAGTTACCTCCTCCACTCAGGGGGACTGTGAAAAACAAACTTTTAAGCTGAAATACTCAAACTGTTTGACATCAGTCTGAAAAGATGCATTGTTCATCCATTCAATAGACATTGATTGCCTGCCCTGCAAGGTGCTGCCATGGTTGCAGGAGGTGCGATGCTGACTGGCAGATAGGATTCTTATACGCGCAGCTTGCAGCGTCATGAGGGCCAGAGTTGGGGGGCACAGTGCAGGACACAGGGCAGATGATAGAGCGAGGCTATCTAAAGCAAGAATGGAACCTTGGGCATTTTAGAGCAGCGAATCAGTCCTTCAGTACCGTGTACTCAGTTTTTGCTTGAAATGCAACCACAAAACACGCTTCCCAAAGCAGGGAGTTTTGTTTCCTGGTATATTCACTTCCCCAGTAGGGCAGATAATTTGGCAGGGATTCCAATCCACTACATTCGATACTGCTTTGACCCAGACTGTTAACTCCAGAGGCTGGGGCTCCATAGGTGAAGCAAAGTTGCTGAGCTATTAAAAAATAAGACATATGAGGAAAGGTTAAAATATGAGATTATGAAGCTGATTGAGGGAAGTTGCTGGTGATTTAAATAATGGCTTTCAGACCTCCAATGTGTATATGATTGATGCTGGGCCGAGAAACTTTTCTCTGAATTTGAGGCCAAACACAATTGAAACGACGAGGTCCATCAACAAAAGGTAGAACTGTCATCATTATTAGTCATGTTATGTTGACGCTGCAGTAAGAAACACGCAAACAGAACAACTTGTAGTATCAGGGATGGGAGTACAAATAAACCTAGAAGCTGAGACTCAAATTTCATTTTTAGTTTCTTTAAAAAATCTTTATGTTTAGAGACAGGATCTCATTCTGTTGCCCACGCAGGAGAGCAGTGGCGTGATCCTAGCTCACTGCAGCCTCAACCTCCTGGGCTCAAGCAATCCCCCCACCTCGGCTTCCTGAGTAGCTGGGACTGCAGGTGCATCCCACCATGCTCTGCTAATTTTTAAATTTTTTGTAGAGTCAGAGTCTCACTATGTTGCCCAAGAAGGTCTTGAACTCCTGAACTCAAGCTATCCTCCAACCTTGGTCTCCCAGGGTTTTGGGATTACAGGTGTCAGCCACCGTGCCTGGCCTCATTTTTAGTTTTCAAAGTAGTTAGATATTTCCAAGTTTGGATGTCAGGAGAAAGACAAAAAGGTCCCCTGTGTCCACATGCAGAGGAAGGGCTGTAGACACAGACTAACACTCCATTTCCTGCTCTTTATTTGATTTTATTCTTTGAAAACAACAGATATGAGGATTGCTGATGCGCAGGCCAGCCTGTGCTACCATACGAGGGCTTTGAAAAGATTCTGGATTGTCTGTCTGTGTGATGATATGTGCTGCTGTATAGAGCAAGGAAAACAGAACTTAGAGGTGGTTTTCCAAGCTCCACAGCCCATCTTTATCATGGCCAGGTAATGCACTGTCCCTTAAAAGTTAGATACAAGCAACCAAGTGACATTTATTGAGACTCTACTATGTGCCAGACCTGGGCAAGTTACCTTCTCATGAGGTCGAGCTGGATGACTGGCTGGGATAAAGGATACAGCCAAAACGTGGGGGTCCAACAGGAGGTCGTGGGGACCACATGCTCATCCACAGAACCTGATCTAAGCTTGTTCATAGACCTTCTGCGTATTTTCCTTATAGAAAATAAGAGAATTTTGCTCATCATTTCTTTTCCATTATTGTCAGTTTCAGTTTTTTACATGTCCTAATAACCATATATTTCATTTTCCACCCATCCAGACTCCTTGCTCCTCCCTATTTGGTCTGGGGAGAACTCATAAATGTCATTGGTCACAAATCCACTCTCCACGCTCACCAGAGTCACAAACCCACTTTCTGATGGGTTCACAGCCATGTTGTCATAGTCACAAGACACATCATCGGGAGTGGCTTCTCCCGAACACACTCGGAATGAAATATTCTTCAGGTCTGGCCGGGTCTCAGCTAAGTCAGCTTCACTTTGTTTTCTTATGACATTGTAGACCTCTAGGTCCGGGCTGTTTCCTTGGTGAGGAGAGGGCCAGATGGTGTGCTGCTTCTTTGTGCTAGGGTCTGGTTGCTCCCGTTTTCTAGAGAGAAAGAAAACCAGGGCTGGGTGTTTCAGACCAGGTGATTGAGAATATCCTTGTGCTTCCTGTTGAGACCAGAGGAAGCAGCCCTGGGCGGTCACCCAGCTGCATGTCTCATCTATGTAACTTACAGGCCAGGGCTTCGGGGTGGGACGGAACCAAACAGGGAGATGTTATGTTCAAAGTGACTGTGTATCTGTCATTCACGGCTGCCCAAGTGTGGGCAGGGTTATTATCCTGGGGTCCCCAGAGTCCCTGGAGGGTCCAGGGATAGAACTGAATAGGAAAAAAAAAATACCACATTACAAACAACAAAACAAAACAAAACAAAAACAACAACTCAGCTGGGCACAGTGGCCCACGCCTGTAATCCTAATACTTTGGGAGACTGAGGCAGGCGGATCACTTGAGCCCAGGAGTTTGAGACCAGCCTGGGCAACATGGTAAAACCCTGTCCCTATAAAAGATATAAAAATTAACCAGCCATGGTGGCGCACACCTGTAGTCCCAGCTACTTGGGAGGCTGAGGTGGGAGGATAACCTGGGAAGTCAAGGCTGCAGTGAGGTGTGATGGTACCACTGTACTCCAGCTTGGGCGATAGAGTGAGACCCTGTCTCAAAAAACAAATCAAAAAACAAAACCAAAACAACAAAAAATACAACTCATCCATAAGTGAAATTTGGCACGTCCTTCCATTATGAGTGTAAGCAATAAAACAGAGCAGGATTAATAATATCTTTGATTTGATCATTACTAGAAGTTATAGATGTTTTCATATCACAGTTATAGATGCCTTGAAATATTTTACCCTCATCTCTACTTCAAAATTATAATAATTATACTCAGCACCAAATAAAGAAGCGTTAATAAAGGAGTACATGTATTACTAATCACATATTCATTTTTGGAAACATTTTGCTAAACTATATAACAGTATAATTGCTTCCTTTGCAACCCAATGTATTTTATTTTATGCATTTAAAATATTGCTCTGGGCCAGGTGTGGTGGCTCATGCCTGTAATCCTAGGGTTTAGGGCAGCTGAGGCGGGCAGATTACCTGAGGTCAGAAGTGCGAGACCAGCCTGGCCAACATGGTGAAACCCATCTCTACTACAAATACAAAATTAGCCAGGCGTGGTGGCATGCGCCTGTAATCGCGGCTACTCGGGAGGCTGAGTCACAAGAATCACTTGAACCAGGGAGGCAGAGGTTGCAGTGAGCCGAGACTGTGCCATTGCACTCCAGCCTGGGTGACAGAGCAAGACTCTGTCTCAAATATATATATATATATAAAATAAATAAATAACATAAATAAATAAAATAATAAATAAAACAAAATAAAATAAAATATTGCTCTGGAAGGAGTCCATAGGCTTCACCAGACTGCTGCAGGGCACAAAAAAGATTAAAAACCCTTGGGATAGACAGACACCCCAGCTTTAGAGTCACAATTCCCAAATCCTGGTAGTCAGGAAAGGAAATCAAGAACCAACTGCAGAGTAGGCAGCTGGAAAATATGCTTGTAATTTTTTGAGCTAAATTCTACTTTCAGATTCAAAGGAAAAAACTAATAAAATAATCCTAATAAGAGGTAACATTTTTAAGTGCTTAGTATATACCTATTCTGCAAGTATTAACTGCCTGAATCCTTATAGTAATCCTATAAGGAAGTTACAATTAACTGAAATAGATTTTTACATTGGAATCTTTTTTTTTTTTTTTTTTTTTTTTTTGAGACGGAGTCTCGCTCTGTCACCCAGGCTGGAGTGCAGTGGCCGGATCTCAGCTCACTGCAAGCTCCGCCTCCCGGGTTCACGCCATTCTCCTGCCTCAGCCTCCCGAGTAGCTGGGACTACAGGCGCCTGCCACCTCGCCCGGCTAAGTTTTTGTATTTTTAGTAGAGACAGGGTTTCACTGTGTTACCCAGGATGGTCTCGATCTCCTGACCTCGTGATCCGCCCGTCTCGGCCTCCCAAAGTGCTGGGATTACAGGCTTGAGCCACCGCGCCCGGCCTACATTGGAATCTTACTAATTCATCTCAAATTGGTCTTTAAAGGGAGTCAAATCTTAAATTGGGCCTTAGTTTCCCCATTGTAAAATGGGAATACTAGACATCTTCTCCGTACACCATGATGATGGAGAATAAAAAGGTAACTGAGAAGAGCTTTCAGTACTAAAAAAAAAAAAAAAAAATGGTGGCACATGATCCTGACCATATGCAGAAATTGTTGATGCTACCTAGTGTAGCTATTTTATAGCACTCTATACTTGTGTATTGAATTAAAAGAAAAGTCAATTAAAAGGAATTTGGCTCTTTCATTTTGAATTAAGTGGTTTAGTTTCAGATGTGTACCAGAATGCTTTGCAATAGTCATTTTTCATATGGCTCACTATCCATTCCTTCACTCAGTCCACATACATTTTCAGAGTGAGGGCACACATGCATGAGAGCATTTTTGCTGGGTGACGTGTGAGTGCACGGGAGGTGAATAATGCAATTTCACCCTTCAAGTTGTTTTAAAATCTTCCACATACACACAGTAAAGCATGTAAGATCATTCTGTTAATCACAACTAAGCACAAATGCCTAGTATTTCTGAATGCCCTGGTCTGTCAGAGAAGCTGCTCTCCAATCTGCAATGGTGATACTCTTGGTGCTGCCATGGGTTTTAGTGAAGTAAACAGGGCAATATCCAAATCTCAAAGAGAGCAGAAGATGCAAAGGTTTGTACAATGAAGGTTTTACTTGCCTTCTTCTACAGCTCCAAACCCAACATACAACTGTGGAGACCACAAAGAGGAGGAGAAGGGGAATGCCAGGGATTAGGATGTAGGCAAGATTCAAGGCAGCTTCTGAAAAGAAAGAAAGCAAATGATCAGCACTGGCTGTTTTTTGTTTTGTTTTTCTGTGCTTCAAACCAGGCTTAAAAAATGCATAATCATCAAAAACCAGTTGTACCCCCAAATCTATTGAAATTAAGAAATTAAAAACCAAAACAAACAAAAAAGCCTAATAAACACAGAGTATTCCAAAGAGCTCATTCCTAGGTGATTGAGACACATCTAGCCAGTTAGCAAAGAGTCTTCTGGTTTTGATGAATGAGCATTTTCTACCTGTCCTAGTACCCTAAGTGATAATGAAAATCGGTTTAAATTTGTGGGTCTTCCAAATATCAGAAGGGCACTTTTGTTAATTAAGCTTTTTTTTTTTTTTTTCCAGAGAAAAGAGAGTCCCTCTTTTCTTGTCTTCCCTTAGTAAAGCAGGGGCTGTTGGGGCAGTGTTGATGCCTTTGCCTCTAAGGACAGTCACCGAGTTCCCAAGATGGGATGGGAGAAAGAGGGAAAAAGAGGCGAGCCAGAAGTCTCAGTGTCATTACCAGGAAAGAGGTCACAGAAAGCAAGTAAATTACAGTGTAAAACCTTTCCAATATTTCTAAGACCAATTGGATTCAGTTGGGTCCATGAGCCATGACTGTGAAGAGCACTTAGAGGCCTGCTTTTCTGAACTAGAGTCTTTTAAGATTTAGAACCAAAGATGTTCCCCTCAAGTGGCTTTGGGAGGAAGCAAGGATTGGAGGCTAACCCTCTTCCTACTCCCACTGACCCAAACTTCCTGACTATCCAGAGGCTGTTGGCTCTTTTTCTCTGTGAGACTGCAAACCTGACAACCACTAAAAACCCCAAACCCTCAAAACCCACTATAAATACCACCATAATAACAATGAGCAATAGAGATGCCACCCACCTTTGCAGAGCACTTTGTACCTTTCTCACATATCTGTCATATAATAAAGAATTTGATGGGCCTTTGTCCCTGGTTCCTGGGAGAGAGGCTCTAAATCCTTGGACTCTCCCAAGTAACAGGAGTGAATTTGTTATTCATGAGCCCCTAGAACCATAAGAGAGTTTATAAGGAGATGACTCAGGATGGGGGCTGGCCATGCCAGAAAGATCAACCATGTGATGATAGGGTTGGGGCTTTGAGCCTAGTGATATCAGCCTGACCTCTTTTGGAGACTGAGCTCCACCACATGACCAATGATAAAATCAATCATGCCTATGTAGTGAAACCCCAATAAAACCTCTGGACATAAAAGCTCTGTGGAGCTTCCTGGTTGGTGAATGCACTGATGTGCCAGGATGCTAACGCATCCTGATTCCATGGGGTCGGGGGTGACATGGAAACTCCTCCCAGACGTCCTGCTGTGTGTCTCTTCATTAGGCTGACCCTGATTTGTATCACATACAATCAATCTAGTCATAAGTATAGTATTTTCCTGAGTTCTGTAGGTTGTTCTAGTGAATTATCAAACCTAAGAGGTGGGGGTCATGGACACTCCTGGGTTTGTAGCCAGTTGGTCAGAAATGCAGGTGGCCTGGGGATCCCCAAACTCACAGTCGATGTCTGCAGTGAGGGCAGTCTTATTATGAGCTGTGCTCATGAGCTGGAGTGTCTGCGCTAACTCTGGAATTTAGTTTCAGAACTGAACTGCGCTATTGCAACATCCTATTTCATTTTATGGACACAGTTGTGCTCTCAGGTAGGTAAGAAAAATATTATTACGTCTATGATGCAAATAATTAAACTGAAGCACAGAGAAGTAAAGTGGTTTTTAAAAGTTGCCCAGTGACAAAAACTCAGATGTCCTTATTGAATTTCAGGGTGAGAGTGAGTTTGAAATCCATTAGCACTCCAATGTATTATCCCATTTTCTTTTACCTTTTATGATTTAACCTTTTAAATGTTTTTGTCTATTTCGTCTCTTTGTTTTGCAGATGAATATTAATCATACATGTTATGCATCACAGCTTGGGTCTTTCTGCTCTTATTTCTCTACATTTTCTCTCTCAGTCCTCACTCCACCTTACCCCGCATGACCTCTCAGTGGCTCCCAAATCTCCGTCTTCATGCAAATTTCCCACCTGCTGTCTGATTTCCCCAGTCATCTTAGGATAGTTCCATTTGCATATTTCATTGATGAAACCTAGCATTTAGTTCAGCTTTTGCAAAGCCACACATGCCCTGTCTAGTTCTATTTTTAGGTAGCTATGGGAAAGAACAAAGTAGGGAATTCAACCTTGGGTAATTTGTGATCAAGGGAGCCTCATTATTCATCTTTCCTAGGAGAGTTTTGTACATACCTCTACTTTCTTTAAATGTTTTTTTGGCATCTTCCTCCTGTGTTTCTTCTAGAAGTACAGGTGTTGTCGGCTCTGTTTCCTCACCTGGAGAGAGACACATGGAGAAAGGCATGATAATTCTTTGAGGTCCTACCATGTTCAAATTGGGATGCAAAAAAGCTGTAGCAATTTGGACAGCAGCATCTATAAACACAGAAAAGTAAAGGGTTGAATGTGTTGCCCTGGAGGTTTAAATTGTCTTTGTCTTTTTGGCGAGACCCTTGCTGTCAAGAATCCAGTATCAAAACAATCAACAAGCAGCTAACATCAAGGTACATAAAATACCAAGGTGTCAAGGGGAAGGGCCAAGGACTCACTTCTAGGGCCATAAACTATCAGTTTGGCTCATTTTTTTGGGTCTCTTTAAATTATTCCTTTCATATTGTCAATGATGACAAGTAACACCCCAAACAGAATTTTTAACTGTTGTTTTCAGCCGTGAGAGAAACAGACAACACTAAAAAATGACATGACTAAACTAGCTGTCATGGCTGGGTGTGGCGTGTACCTGTCCCAAATGCCTGAGCTAATACCAGTAGTTTTTCTGTTGAATAATCTGGTCCAAAGGACATAGGGCTTTAAACCTGTGAACAGGGGCCATGAAACAGTCCCAGTTAACCCAAATCTCAAGTGACAGGCTTACCTTCAGGTTCTCTAGAAGGAACTGCTGGTTTCTCTGTAGTAGAAAGAAACAAAAACAAAAATAATAAGTAAATTTTCATGGCATCTGAATGAAATCAGCCACAGCCTCATGGCATCTATTTATTTGCTGAATCAGTCCTCCGATAAACTTTATTTGTTGTTATCAGATATCAGGAACTGGGCTAGTAAATCCAAAGAATTGCTTTTGCACAAAGACTAACCTACCCCAGCTTTATTTCAGTGCTTTTTTTATTTTTTTAAAAAATATTTAAAAACCTTTAAATATGATCATTTCCAAATATACAAAAAAGGAGAAAGACTAGTATAATGTACCCTGTGTACTGTCATGCAGCTTCAACTCCTATCATTGTATAGCTCATTTAGTTTCAACCATAATCCCTACTCCTCTGCCCTGCACTTCTGGCCTGGATTATTTTAAAGCAGTCTAAACATTTTATCAGTTCATAATGGGGATGTTTTAGAGGACAACAAACACTGATCTCCAGGTTGTGAAAGTGGTTTAGGGGCTGAGTAGACCACTGGCCAGCACCAAGGCAGAAGCTGGTGATCTAGAGCTCTGAGCTATTGCACATATTTTAAAGTGTCTCGAGAATATCAGGTTGTACAGACAATTGACATCAAATGTGTTTGCTTTTGACTGGGAGTGTGTCCGCCTGTTGTATTGGCAGTGAGTCTCTTATGCTAATTGGATGCTCTGGTGTTCGTAGGGACAGGGTCTTTAAGGGAAAGACCTTAAAAATCACAGTCCTAAGGCCAGGATGTCAAGCCCATTCTGAAGTTTCACTCAGAAAGGACACAAACTTTTAGTCATCTTCCTGTAAGTGTGTGTGTGTATAGGTGATGTAAATCCATTTATTTTTAAAAACCCACTTACACAATGCCTACTATATGAGAGAAACTGTTCTAAGTTGGTTTTTTTTTTTTTTTTTTTTTGGTGACAGAGTCTTGCTCTGTCACCCAGGCTGGAGTGCACTGGCACAATCTTGGCTCAATGCAACCTCCGCCTCCCAGGTTCAAGTGATTCTCCTGCCTCAGCCTCCGAAGTACCTGGGATTACAGGCGTGTGCCACCATGCCTGGCTAATTTTGTACTTTTTTTTTTTTTAGTAGAGATGGGGTTTCACCATGTTGGTCAGGCTGGTCTCAAACTCCTGACCTCAAGTGATCCTGCCTCAGCTTCCCAAAATGTTGGATTATAGGCGTGAGCCACCGTGCCCGGCCTGTTCTAAGTGTTTTATAAAATCAAACTCAATTAATCCTGGTAACAGCCTTGTGAGGTGGCCTTATTATTTATTTATTTATTTATTTATTTATTTATTTATTGAGATGGAGTCTCGCTCTGCCGCCCAGGCTGGAGTGCAGTGGCGCGATCTCTGCTCACTGCAAGCTCTGCCTCCTGGGTTTACGCCATTCTCCTGCCTCAGCCTCCTGAGTAGCTGGGACTACAGGCGCCCGCTACCATGCCCGCCTAATTTTTTGTATTTTTTAGTAGAGACGGTGTTTCACCGTGTTAGCCAGGATGGGAGGTGGCCTTATTATTATTCTGGTTTTGTACATGAGGAAACTGAGATTCAGGGAGATTAAGTAACTTGCCCAAATCTCACAGCTGATAAGTAGCTTTAAAGGGATTTCAACCAAATCCATTCTAATGAAAATTAAAATAGTCAGGAGACATAATTGTGCTAGGTAGCAGAGATAAAACAGCAAATAAGAAAGAATCTCAGCCCTCTAAGGGGCTTATATTCTACAGGATGGCCATAAAATCTGGAAATACAGGAAAATATTAATGAACATTGATTTTGGGATATCACACTGGAATGTGTAATAACATGATCTATTCAATGCATGATCTATTCATATTGTTGTCCCTTCATACTTCAATCCACGGTGCAAAGTTAAACACGGCACATCAATGCAGCATTCCCATCAATCCCTGCACCTGCATCTGCGTTGCCTCATAATTTGTTTCTGATATTCGCTGAATATGCCTGTGCCTTTAGCACACCCCAGAAGTAAGCAAGTGTTCAGCTATGGCTAGCATGCCACCTACTCTACATGAGTACATTCTCAAATCTAGCTTTATATATTATCATTTACCCAGTTCCTTGCCACTCTGGCATAATGGGATGATGTCCTCCCCTGCCGGAACCACAGGAGTGAGCTTCCCCAGCCCATCAAGTGGTGAAACAGGTAAGTTTCCAGACTTCATGCCAATCATTAGTGGAGAGGACAGCCTTATAAATAGGCAGTTAAAGTACTGTATGTGTGAGGTGCTACGATCCTTATAGGAGGGACACTAAACCTAGCTTTGAGGGGCTCTGGAAGGCTTTCCAAAGGAAGTTATTTTTTTTAACTTCTTATTTCAAAATATTTTCAGATTTACAAAAATTTGCAAGAATGGTACAAAGAATTATCCTGTATTCTTCACCTTATCATTTTATCACATTTCATTTACTTAATTATTCTCCCTCTCTATCTCTCCTCTTTCTGTTTTTGTATCACATACACATGTTTATGTGTGTGTGCATACATGCATATATATATATACACACACACACATACATACACATACATAACTTTGTTCCTGCAAACAAGTTGCCAACATGGTGCCCCTTTACTCCTAAAGACTTTTGTCCATATTTACAAAGGGAAAGGGGCCTTTTCATATATAACCACAGTACAATGATCAAAACCAAGAAATTAACATTGATGTAATACTATTTTCAAATCTACTGATCTCATTCAGATTCTACCAATTTTCCCACTAATGCCATTTATAGGAAATCATCACATCATGGTCCAGGATCCAAACCAGGATCACCGGTTGCACTTAGCTGTTAGGAGAGAAGGTGTTGTCTAATCTGAAGCCAAAGGGTGAGAATGAGTTGGCTGAGAAAGGGGTGTTTCAAGCACAGGAAACAGCAATTAAGAGCTCGTGGGGAATTCCATTTGGTACAAAGGTGTTGGAATAGGACGGGGAGAGGAGTCAGAGTGGTGAGAATTGAGCTGGACAGGTCAGCAAGGGTCTGGTCGTGCTGATCTCTTCTGGCATGCTAAGGTGTGTAAACTATTCTGGGCATGCGTGGCCAAAAACAGACAGTGTCTTAGTTTTTCTTCATGTGCCCACCTCCCTCTGTTGGATCCATTCTCTGTCCTTCTCTGTGCCTTGGGAGGTTGAGGCCTATAAACTGTTTCAATGGGGCTTCCTTGTTCCCTTGTTCTTTGGTCTCTGATTGGACTTAGCCAATGAGAGGCAAAGGCAGAAGGTCAGAGGATAGGAGGAAAGAGAGGTCTCGGTATTTATTCCCCATGCCCCCATCCCACATCAGCATGGTTTGATAGTAGCTGCATTTCGTGGTAATAGCTCCTGTTGGGCGGGTCCTCTTTCATGACCCCAAGCTTTTCCTCGGTTCTGCTAAAATCACTCCCTTCTTTTACTCCTTCAGTCCTGGGAGTAACAGTTTCCCATTGTAGTTAGTCCCTGGATATTTTACCATCTCTTGCTCTTTGCCTACACCTCAGCAAATGTCCTTTTTATTACACTTTCCTCATTAAATCCTTTGTGTGTGCCATCTTTTTCCTGCCAGGACTTAGTGTAACTAATACAGGCAATAACAAAAGTAATGAAGAATATGATTTTTTTTTAAAAGTACCAAGTCCAAAAATAAAAGGATATTAAAGCAAATTTCAAAATCTCACATTTCAAAAACTGTTAAAGGAAGTGCAAAAATTTAAACCATGGAGCTATTAATAATACAATATAATTCACAAAAGTGATGAAAAGCCAGTTTGTAACAAGTGCCTTGCTTTCACTGCTTTATAAAGGTGACTTGCTAAGTCAGTCTAGGTCTTTGCAATCTCCCCACCTGAGACAACACTGTACGGTGGGGAGGGCCAGGTCACTGGAGAGAAGAATTCATCAGAGAGGATAAAGAGAGAGAAAAACATCTTTTAGCAGCAAAAATTGCCACCAAACCATAGTCCAGTTCAAACAATTTTAAAATGACAAGATTACTTAGTCCCAAACTAGATAGAATTAACAAGTCACTCTACTCCTATCAAGAAAGAATGCAGAATTAGGGCTAAACAGTTGGCTTTAGGGAGGTGAGAAACTTCAAAGGCAGATTAAGAATCAGTTCAAGTTCAAATATGTCAGTTGTAATGGAGAAGTCTGGGAGACCCAAGTACAGTGAAACCTCAGGCTTGTAGCCAGTTTAAAACCCTAACAGATCTGGAAGCAAATGTAAGTTGAATTTGCAACTGAGAGTTGAGAGTTTAAATCTGCTCATCAAAGTACCTGCTCTCTCTGCCCAGTGAAAGTGCAGTTGGTGTACTTTCTCATTTATGTATGTATCATGCTTCCTTAAAGCCCCAGAAAATCATCTCACTGAGCTGTTAGAAGACTTGTAAGAGCAATGGCCAGCTTATTCTAAGCCCCTACAGCCAACCTCACATGTGGAAAGAGTAATAATTTGTGGCTGTCCACTTAAAGGGCTTTTTTATTTCCTGATGTTCTTGTAAGACTTGCTTTATCACATATAAATTAAATCTTTCCATCATCCCTTCTTTTAACATCAGATAACCTTTCCTTTGCTAGGATTACTCCTCAGTGAGAATTGTCATTACATTGCCCTTTACAAGAATTCCTAAGGTTTTACGTTGCTGGCATTTGCAACAAGCTTTCTCAGAGACCACATGACACATTCTTGGTACTAGCAGCTGCTCATGAAATAAGGGAGGTTGAGAATTCAGCCGCATAGCTTGGGAGAGGATTCATTACCATCAGAATATTTGCAAATGAAATTGTTCTTCATGTTGCACCGGTCATCATTCCACTGGAACATGTAGGGGCCTCCGATGCCGGCGGGTGCCGATGGCTGATGGTACATGACCACACAGACCTCGCTGCCGCAGGACGGCTCATCCACATACCAGTTCCTGTAGGAAAAGGGATCAGCAGTGGAGCAACTGGAGAAGGATCCCCTGAGACTTCAAAGCCTTTGTTTTCCCATCAAGTCCCACTGAGCCATAAACATAAGATTCTGCCTCAGAACACGATACAGAGAGAGAGGGAGGAATTGAAGTACTGCCAGTAAGCAGAACCACACGCATTCTCCTATGGACATCACAATCAATCATCTGACATTTGCCACAATCTCTTTGCAGGGAGGAACATGCCACCATATGATGTCTGCAAAGTAATTATGAGAAAAAGCAGCTAGCAGGGCTAGTCTGGACGATCTTCTTTCTTTCTTACTTTTTGCTAATTGGGTTTATTTGTCTTTTTTTAGATCTCAGATGCACTGAGAAGAGACATGGCTTATCTCCTCCAGAGCTTGCCCTGCTCGCATCTCTCCATGCTTTTCAACAGCCACCAACTGCCTTTTCAGCCCTGGGAAGTAGATAAGAAATTCAAGCACATGAGCAAGACATTCCAAAACACAGAGGCTGTCAAAACAGGTAAAGGGGTGGGGACAAAAGCAGGAGGACCATTTGGTCTTTTTCAGTTTTTAAGTTGTTTCCACTTGATAAGGCTGATGCCCCTCAGCCTCCACCTCCAGATGTCTTGTCTTTGTCTCCCTAGCCCCCCAGAGGGGTGCATTAGCAACCTTACACTACTATCCAGTGGCACCTGAAATTAAATGGTGCTGCCACCCAGTTGGATATGTGGGTGCCAGGGAATGTGCTTGGATCTTATGGAGCATTTACATCTGTGAGTACCCACCCCCTATGCTGACTCAGGGCTGGGCTTTGTAACCTGCCTGGTTAGTCGCCTGAGCTGTTTCCTTCTAGGGCTCAGATCTTGCCCTGATGCTCAGAGCAGGCAATGCTGCTCTGCTTAGCTCTTGTCAGAGCTCTCTCCAGAAAAGAGACAGCTAAGAGACAGCTCTCCCTATAGCACCACAGTAAGGCTCGGCTTGAGTCCTGTGTTGCTGTCTACTAAAAGGAAAATCCTTTGCTGCACTCACTGGATTGAATTTCCTGGAAAATAGCTTAGCTTATAATAAACACTCCTTGGATACTATGCCTGGACAGCTGGGGGCACCTCATTAGTTATCTCCAGTCCAGATTCCAGCCTGTTGGGCCCCCTACCCTGACTTGCCTTGTTCCCCTCTCCACTAGCCTTATGGCTTTACATTATTTTGTCTTATAGGTTGAATATTATGTCTGGCATATAATTTCTGTACTTGAGCCAATTTTCAGACCCAGAACTTACTGATAGAGAGGCCAGGTTTCCAGTAAGAAGGACCTTGCAACACCATGGCAGGTGCACATGGTAATAACTTCCCGTTTTTCCCCTAAAGGGACCCATGGCTGTTTCCTCCAGTAACCATACACTGGGGAAAAGAAGGAATATCCAAATATTACAAGGGCTGTTGGACACAGGCTGCAAGTTCACATTAATACTCAGACTTAAAGTGTCATCAAAACTACCCATTAGAGTGGGAGCATACTGGGGACAGGTATTAAATAGAGGTCTGGCCCAGGATCAGCTCAGAGTGGCCCCCAAACAGTCATCATTCCCCAGTCCCCAAATATATGAATTGAATAGACGTATTTGTTAGTTGGTACAGTTCCACATTGGTTCCTTGGCCTATGATGGGCAGGATGAGCTGCGTTGTCTCTTGGTCTACTTACCTGTGGGGCAAGAGCTATCACGGTGGAGAATGTCAAGTGGGGAAGCCTTTGAAACTGCACTCCTCCCCACCCCTGCCATGATAATAAATCAACAACAACATCTTATCCAGGGAAAGATGGTAGGAAGTAGTGTCACCCTTAAAGACCCAGAGAATCTAAGAGTGGTGTTCCCCATCGTATCTCTAGTTAATTCACTAGTCTGACTCCTGAAAACACCAGGCAGATCCTGAAGGTGATAATAGAGTAGCACAAACTCAACCAAGTGGAAGCCTGATTGTGGCTGCCTGTGCCATAGGTGGTGTCTTTGCTAAAGCAGGTTAACATGGCCTTGGGTACCTAGTATGCAGATCTGGTGAATATATTCTTTTCCTTCTGTATCAGAAAGATAATCTGAAACAGTTCGTTGGGATGGACAATAGTATATACTTATGGTCTTGACTCAAGGCTACATTAATTTTTCTCGTCCTCTGTCATAATATGGTGTAAAGAGATCTGGATTTCCTAGACATTTTGCAGAAAATCACACTGACCTACTATATTGCTGACATCATGCTAATTGGAACAGATGAGCAAGAAGTGGTTAGTACACTGGATGCCTTGGTAAGACTTATGTACTCCAGAGGGTTGGAGATAAATCTTATGAAGATTCAGGAGCCTACCACTTCTATAAAATGTGTGAGTGTCTAGTGATCTAGGGAATACCAGAACATCCCCTTCAAATTAAAGAACAAACTATTGCATCTTGCAGTAATTTGAAGAGAGAAGCATAGCACATGGTAGGTCTCTTGGGCTCTAGAGGCAGCATATTTCACACCTGGAAATACTGCTCTGGCCCATAAACCAGGTGACATGAAATACAGCCATTCTGAGTAGGATTCATAGCAGAAAAGAACTCTGAAGTAGATCTAGGCTGTGTGCAAGCAGATTTGCCACTTGGGCCGTATGATGCAGCAGCTCCTATTATTAGAGATGTCAGTGGTGGGAAAAATAACGTCATATAAAGCTTGTGACAAGCCTCAATGAGAGAATCACAATGCAGGCCCTTAGGATTTTGAAGCAAGACCATACCATCTGTAGCTGAAAATTACTCACCTTTTGAGAAACAGTTCCTGGCTGGCTACTAGGCAAGGAGCACCAGAGACCATGTAGTACAACCTGCCCATCATGAGCGAGGAACTGTCAGACACACCTAATCGGAGATTAGGCAGGCCTGGAATCAATCCATTGTAAGACGGAAGAGGTATATCCAGGACCAAAGAGCACTGCATGAGCAGGTAAAACAGACTTCCATGACATCTGCCACTGTTGGACCAGACCCTCTTCCTTAGCTCACACCTGCGACTGCATGGAGGAATCCCTTGTGACTAGCTGATACTGGCAGCCTGAGCCTGGTTCAAGGGTAGGTCAGCTAAGTATGGGAGTACAGAGTGAAATGGACAGCAGCTGCACTGCAGTCCCACTGAGGTGGCCTTGAAAGACACCAGTAAGGGAACATCTTCCCAATGGCCAGAGCTTTAGTTGGTACATCTAGTTAACCACTTTGTAAGGAAAGGGAAAGTATTGGAGATTAGAATATATAAGAACTAGGGGTAAGGTAAATAGCATGCCCAGCTGATCAAGAGTCTAAATGGAAATAGACTGGAAGATTGGGGACTAGGAAGTTTTGGATAGAGGGATGTGATATACACAGAGGAGTGAACATAAAATATGCAACTCTTTCCATCAGATATAAAGACCACCAGGGTACATCTACTATAGAAGAGGCACTGAACAACAAGGGAGACAAAATAACTCAGCTAGGTAATGCCAGCCAGCCTGTTATTAGCCACCCCAGTGCTAGTACAATAGATACTAATAGGTAGTGGGAGAGATGAAGTCTATAGATGGGCTCAACAGATTGGCTCTCATTCACTAGGGCTAATCTAGCTATTGCTACTGCCGAATGTTCAACTTCCAGCAACAGAAACCAATGCTAAGTGTCTGACACAGCACCAACACTTGAGGACACCAACGTGGCACTTGCGGCAAGTTGACTACATGGGGACTTCCAAAAGGGGCAATAATTCACGTGCCTTTTATACAGTCCTATGTTCCCAAGAATAAGAATACATGGGTTTGGGAGCCGAGGGGTGGAAGCAGGAGTAGCCTCGCTTTAGCATCACTGGCAGTGACCCACTTAGGAATCTGTGCTTCTTGTCTCTGCAACACTGGGATCCGGAAGCTTAGAGGTCCTGGTTCCCACAGGGGACTGTCAGAAGATACAAGAATCTTATTAAACTATGAGTTATCACTGTCACTTGGACACTCTGGGATCCTTGTGTCCAGGGACCAGCAGGGAAAAAGAGAAGACATTATTTTGGCAGGAGGTAAGTGACCCTAACCATCAGGAGGAGATAGGCCTGCTGTTATGTATTATGGGCAAGAAGTTATCTATTTGGGTACCTCTTGGAATTCGCTTGCCCAATTTTGATGGTCAGTGGAAAAGTGCACAAACTCCAGCATGATAAGGGCAAGGTGACTAGTGCCTCAGATTCTTCAGACATGAGGATGTGGATCATGCCACAAGGTCAACCGTTGAGACCAGCAGAGGGAGAGGGAATCTGGACTGGCTACTAGAGGAAGGAGGTCAGTAAGTACCATCTGTGGCCCTGGGACCAGCTGCAGTGATGGGAAGTGTAGTTCATCCTACTAACCCTCCTTTCTAAAGTTTCTCCCAGGAAGACAGGCTCATGAGAATCCTGGAGGAGCTACTCCCAGAACTTATAAGATGATGTGCACCTGATCAGTCTAATGGGTGGACTAAGATAGATGCTGATGTGCTGCCTTAAATGTAATGGTAAATACACACACACACACACACACACACTCACATATTTAGTTGTTAAATTTTTGGGGGAGTACATAGTAGGTATATATTAAAGAATATATTTTAAAATCTTCCTTCTTTTGATGAGTTTAGACTTTTCCCCTATGATTGTTCACCATTAGATTTTTTATTTTATAAACTGCCTGCTCAGGTATTTTGTCTCTTTATATTTTGGGGTCTTAGTATTTTATTGACATAAACTCTTTATCATAAAAAGATATTAACTCTTTGTTGGATTTGTGACACGCATTCTCCTAGTCTCATGACTGTCTCTTAATTTTGATATTTTTTAAATGTTTGTCTATGTCACTGCATTTCTCGCATTTCTCAGGGAGGGATGATGGCAATGTCATGCTGCCAGGATGGGGGGATGAGTGAGTGTTGATGCCGTGGGTTTAGCAGGGCCCTATACACTGCAGGGTTCCTGAGGTCTTGGCCAATCCACAGAGTTAGATCTTGGCTCTGATTTCTTGCCAATTATTACAATTACCTGTGGACCGGAGTCCTATCCTGAGTCATAGCCCTATGGATCTTCAGTCTCTCAATGAGGTTCTGGTCCAAAAGGCCAGAGAGCCAGAACAACTGGCTTCAAGCATTGTATGCTGTTGAAACAAGGCTGCTGGGCTGCAGTCACCTGAACAGAGCTCCTTGGACATCGGCTGGACCTAAATCAAGGCTGAGTTCACCAACCGCACTGCTTAGGTCAGCAGCTATTCTGGTGCTACTTCTCCTTCAGAGAGCTGCCTGGCTGGTCTTCTCTTCCCCACTGATCCGACATTGTGGATCCAGCCTGCCTCTTTTTTGAGTTATGACAAGTGAGTCAGCTGCTGTGGGTTCCACACACTTACCTAAATTGTGATATGCTGCCATCAGTCCAAGCATAAAGGTCCTCGCAGGCTGTGCTATTGCTTTGTTTCTCCTCACGCCTCCTGAGCCCAATCCAGAAGTCACCATCAGATGGCAAGAGGTTTTCAATGAACTTTTCTATTAGGTTCTGTTCATCTTCAGACTCGATGCTGACTAGCTGGCCTCCATCCCTCCTGCAGGCTTCTTTGGCTTCCTCAAAGTTCAGTCTTCGAGAAGTATCATGGAAGTAAATGACTTTATAACAAGGCCTCTGTGTCCCTCCCCGGCAGACTGGCTGCCCTAGAGAAAAAAAAAAGCCAACCTATTTCAGTGTCTCAAAAAGTATACTGGGGCAGGGATGTGTGGAGGCATCTGAAGGAAGGTATCCCTGGGTAGGAATTTTGGTTACTCATCAGTAGACTGTTATCATGTCAGCTGGGGTTCTCAGAGCAAATTAATACTCCTTCCAGCATGGAGATGTAGTGATTTAAACTCTGATGCCTATATTGTGTAGGGACTCGTGTTTGTTTGTTCCATTACAGAATATTAAAAAGCAAATGTTTTATTTTGACTATCCTTTAGAAGAGAAGTAGATGAAGATTTATGGTTTCACTGAAAGGCACACAAATAACACTTTCATTAGGGAGTCTCAGGGGATAATGTGGCTTAAAGACGGTGTCTGGTGGTTCTTTAAGGTAAGAGATGCCTCCTGAAGTCAGGCTGGGCTCCTCTATTCTGGAACCCTCTGCCTGTGCAGCAGGACTGAGAATCTGCCCAGTCTCTGGTGTAAGCAGAAGCTAAGAGCATCAGATCCATGGGGTTTTCTGCTACTGACAGTCAGCCCCCTAACCTAAAGGCAACAGTTAAGGTTTACTGAACTCTTACTATGTGCCATAAACTATGGTAAGGGCTTAACATTTACTTACATACTTTATCTCATGTAACCCTCATAATAGTCCCGTGATGCAGATACTGTTTATGGCTCATTTTACAAATGAGAAAACTGGGGCTCAGAGAAGTTAAGTAATTCGGCCAAGATCACACAGTGATCAGCAGCATCACCGGAGTTAGAGCCCAGATCTAATTACAAAATCATGCTGGTACCAGTGAACTAAAACGCTAGCTCCCCGCTGCACTCCAAGCTTGTGTTTTACTGGGAGCCCATGTAATGTATCTTATCAGACTGTCCCCCGACGGGCTGAAGATCATCTCAGACAAACAGATGGGATTTTACGAGGAGTCAGTAAATCGCTCACAGTACACACTGCTCTAGCTTGTGTCTGTGTGACTGAAGCCTTGCTGTAACGGAGACACTAGCCTCATCACTCCTTTTATTCAATCACCATTTATTGAGTGTACACTCTGTGCCTGGCACTGTGCGAGGTGCTGGGAATACAGGAACAAAAGCTACTTCCTAGCTCACAGGAGCACACAGCATATGTTTCCGGATTCACATGTTCAAAGTGAAAACCACGTATCAACGCGGGGAGTAGTCACCCTGCAAAGAGAAAGCCAAACTGGGCTGTGGGTGCGAACTGCTGCCACAGTGCCTGGGGTAAAAGATTTTGGTTTGGGAACCTCCTCCCAGAACTTCTGGCATGTTCTCATTTTCCCAACTTGTTTTGCAGCTGCGTAGGGAGCCAGAGAGCATTCATTATTCCCAACACTGGCCAGCATATAGGGCAAGGGGTCACAGACACATAACTCTATTATTAGTGCTAAATGAGAAAGAGCACATACAGATTATCCAGGAAGCTCCAGTGAGTCTTCATTTGCTATTTCTTCTCTCATCGCTTTCATAAAGGAATTCTCAATGAGCAACAAGTTATAAGAGTTCCACATCTTCTCCCTTTTCCTGTCATTATTTGGCTATTGCTGATAATAGAGAAACTCTAACTAGACTGGTCCAGCAGCACATTAGGAGGGCTCAAAAGTCAGACCTGCTTACAAGAAGGCATTCAGAGAGGCTGAGGCAGGGATGCCCCGGGGAAGGAGGCTGGGCCAGTCACGCTTTTGCGATTCCTCAAAGCTGGCTGCAAATTGGGCAGCAGAGGGGGGGCAAATGAACCCCCAAGAACTTATCCAACCTGGCCACCGGCATAACATAAGCTGGAGTTGAATTTCCTGACAACCCCCACTTTCCACGTTGGCTTGTCAAGGGAAACAGAACACCTTAAGCGAGTTTCTGTATGGTCCAGCCTGGCCACACATCCCAAGTCTGCGGGTGACTGCCAGAGACAGTCAGACCTGGAAGGAGGCCCGCTGGCCTGTCTGGTTCTCCTGCCTTCAGGAAGTGTCCTCCTCTTCTCATTTGCAGGAAGGGGAAGGGTGGGAGGGCCTTCTGTTCTCCGCGACCAAGAACCGAGCCCACGCAGCCCTAACTCAAGCAGCTCAATTCAGCTTCCCACCTCTTTTGCCGCCCCGCGCCCCGCCCCCATCCTGAAACCAACTTTACATTCTTTAAATTAGTTTCGCAAGCCGGGATGCCGGAGTGGAGAAGGTTTCCAGTCTCCTCTGTCCCATTTGGTCAAGCTGTTGGCACCCGCAAAGGGGATCTGAGAAAAGGGCACGGATGTTCTCCCCCCGACATGCAGAACAACTGAAAGAGGCCAGAAGCCAGAGCACCGTACCTCCTCTGAGGTCCAAATCCGAGGCTGCAGTGACACAACAGGAGGAAGGAAGCAGAGAGTCATTCCCCGGAGTCAGGCGGGGCTCGTCCCACACTAACTGGAGTTCTTTCCCGATCTCTAAGCGCTCTCATTCCAGGCGCTGGACCCAGCCATGCAACCCTCCAGAAAAGACGAGGAGTAACAGGCAGGATTCCCACGGCACCGCGGATCCAGCATCCCTACCCCGCAGTCTCTGCAGTCGCCTCCCCGAGCGGGCGGTAGGCGGGGGCCAGCTGGCAAGCCTGACCCGCGGGGGTGGTCCCAAGGACTGACTCGATGTGTGTAAAGGAGTTGGCCGAAGGGGCACCCACTGGGGCAGGTTTGTCCACTGCCCCACCTCTCCTAAATCCTCCAACCCACCCCCATAACTCTGGACTGGCAACGGGCTTCGAGCGTTCCAGGACGCGCAGGGAACTGCACGGCTGCGGGAACTGGCGCGGGTCTCAGACGCCGTGCGACTGCTCCCTGGAAGCAGGAGACTCCGAAGGGCTGCGTCTGGGAGTGGGGCATCGAACGGCCCCCTAGTCCCATGCGTGGCGGCCCAGAAGAGGGTCAGCAGCTGGGGTGCAGTGAGTACCTCTGCCGAGCCCACCCCAGCACCAGCCTCCGCCCCAGCGCGCGCACTCACCGCTTAGCAGGCGACCCGTCGCGGCCCGCAGCCCCACCAGCAGCATGGCCAGCACCACGGCCTGCAGCGCGGTTCCCGGCCTCATGGCCCGACTCAGGTGCGCCTTCCGACACCCGGGAGCTACGGCGGTGGAGCGGGCTGGCGGGCGGCGGCGTGCGCGACCACTGCAACCGCGGCAGCAGCATCTCCTGGGGACCGACGGACCGCACGGGAGGAGGAGGGGAGGGCGCGGAGACAGTTGGTCGCCCCTCCGCCCACTGGGACGTCACTGCGGGGAGGGCAGCCCCGCTGGCCGGCCCGCCCCGGACAACCTCCTCCAGCGAGGATGGCGCCAGACACTCGGCCAGCCAGAGGAGAGCGCGTCGCAGAGGGGGGCCAGCTCCCCGCCCCACTCCGAGCTTCCCTGGGAGATCCCGCGTTTGCCCGAGACGCTGGGCGGAGGAATACTGCAGTCGGGCCCCTCTGCAATCTGCTGACGAGCACAGTGTGCCTAAAACTAGCACATCTCACCCCTCTCCGCCGGACCTTAGCCAAGTTCGCCAGCTGTGCGGGTGCAGCCGGAGGGAGAGGCGAGGCGTGGATTCCTACCTGGGGCTCAGCAGGCCGCAGTCCCGGCACGAAGGGCGACATCTGAGCAAGGAAAGGTCGATGCAGAGAACAAACACTCACGCAGGCAGTGTGCCCACCGGCCAGGAAAGTTACGGGACACCGCGCCGATGGCGTCCAAAGAACGTGGCTGAGTTGGAGACTTCCCGGCTGAAAGGAGAGCGGCTTCTACCAGAAGCCAAAAGATGTCCCAGATCCCAGAAAGGAAATGATTCCGGTTTTTTTTTTTTTTTTTTGTAGGGAACGGGTTGGGAGGTGGGGGTCATAGTTAGGGAGTTCAGCTTTGGCCCCTCGCCCCCCGGGAAAGAATAAAACTACAATCTCAGGAAAAGCTTTCCTAACCTAGCCCTCAATGTGTGCTTCCTCTTGTAAACTCCCAAAGTAGGTGTGTTTCACTTCGGTTTCGTAAACGTAATGCTTTTAAATATAGTCAAGGCCGGGCGCGGTGGCTCAACCCTGTAATCCCAGCACTTTGGGAGGCCGAGACGGGAGGATCACGAGGTCAGGAGATAGAGACCATCCTGGCGAACACGGTGAAACCCCGTCTCTACTAAAAAATACAAAAAACTAGCCGGGCGAGGTGGCGGGCGCCTGTAGTTCCAGCTACTCGGGAGGCTGAGGCAGGAGAATGGCGTAAACCCGGGAGGCGGAGCTTGCAGTGAGCTGAGATCCGGCCACTGCATCCAGCCTGGGCGACAGAGCGAGACTCCGTCTCAAAAAAAAAAAAAAAATATATATATATATATATATATATATATATATATATATATATATAGTCAAGTAATAGAGTGAGCCGTCTGTCCAAAGATGAAGGCACTCAGTAGCACACGGTGAATCTGACTTTCTGCCTTGTCTGCCACACTATGCTGCTGTGAAGCATAGCAGAAGCCCCATCTGGGCCGTGACCTCTGGATTTTGGTTCCAGCTTGCTGTTTCTTAGGTACTCTTTCTGCTTTTCAAACAGCCAAGAAAGCAGTGATGCTTCTAAGGCCTCTAGCCACTGCAGTTCTAGACAAACCACCTGAATACAGGCTGGCGGTGAGAGGGGAGTGGGATAAATTTCAGTATCAGCTGAGAATATGGGGGAGCTCTGCTGTGGCTCGTTAACAGCTATTGTGGCAGGATGAGGCCTGACCTTTATGGCAAGATCATTTATAGTCCTTCCTTATGTCCCAGTTAGAATATGTCAATGTCACATCCAACACACATTCTTCTTAGAAATTCTTGGTTATCAAAACAACCAGAGAGAACTGTTATAGTGAAAAGAAGCACTTGAGTTGGCATTTGAGGTTCTGTTTCAGATCCTGCTCTTCTTCATTTAATGTCTCTGTGGCCTTTGGCGAGTCCCTTTGCCTAAGTTTCACTTAACTGTTGGTAACATTAACAGTTGTCTTAAGAGTTTTGTGAGTGTTTGATAAGGCAAATATATATGTAAATGTTCAGATATCTAGGCACTTAATGTCAATTGTAAAGGATTTATTTCTAATATTATAACATCTGCTTCAACTTTAAAAGCTGTTACTTGGGTCCACATAATTAAATCATGTCCTGACTTCTTGCTTTGATACTCTGGACCTTGGTTTCAGATGGACTTTGTTAGGGTATACAGTCAACCAAACCTGGTAGATTACAATAATGCCCCAATTCTCCACACCTCCCTGTACCCATATCCTTTACCGTATGACTTTGTAGTTTCTCTTACTAAAGAGGCAGAGTTTTATTTCCCCACACCTTGACTTTGTGTTCAATCGTGTGATTGACTTGTTTGGCTAACAGAATCAATCAGTTCTGAGCTTAGACCAGAAAAGGCCTCATATTTCTTTTTCTTCTCTGCCACTCTCTGAGAGGAACATACCTTAGATATCCCACTGGTCTATGTGTATCTCTAAGAGGATGACAAATGGAGCAGAGCTACCTCAGGCAACTGACAAACTTGCAGTAAGAGGCAGAGCTGCTCTAGGTGCTGTAGCTTGAAGCAGAGCTGTCTGGCTAAGCCTAGATCAGCCAAACTAGATCACACAAACTGCAGATGTGTGAGCAATAATAAATGTTGTTTTAGACCCCTTTGTTATGCAGCATTGTTGCAGCAATAGCTAACCATTACACTTGGCAATGTAGGGAGTTATCACCAGGGGAAGGCTGGTTGCCAAGAAAGTTCACAAAGTAGAATTTTTCTTGGTAAAATTACCTTGGTCCAGGGTCCAATTCCTAGTTTAACGTGCTCAAACCCAATCTAAGAGACTAATATATTTACACATTGAGAAATAGAATTGTCAGGTAAACTAATGTTTGCATTGGCCTGTTGAACACGTACTCTCCCTCTGGGCAAAAAAGATTTATCAGCATGGAATCAGAATAAAAAGAATTAGTTATATGATTTACTAGTTTAGGCTTTGATAGCCTGCTGTGTCCATCTTCACAACAAAGACCTATCTGTCGGGCAGACAAATACATCAACCAGACAGGGTACCCTTTATTCTTGCTGGTACTGGGAAGAGGCTGCCAATTTAAAACTTTAAAAATTTTCATTTCCCAGGCCTGACTTCCTTTTGTTCCAAACATTTTTCTTCAAATAGTGTTGTGCCAGAACCTTGTCACTGTCCCCTAATATCCATTCTCCACTTCTTTTGGCGATAGAATCCCTGAATTTTAATTAGACAGAAGCCCCCTCCCCATTTTCTAAAGACTATTTCCAGCCTCCCTCACAGCCTGATGTGTCTTTGTGATTAAGCTCTGACCAATGGGTCACCCAGTCTTTGGTTGGCACAGTGGATGGGGGCTGCGTCTTATGAAAGCTGTGTCCAAGAGTTCCAGGTGGAGGCCAGTAGTGATGGGAATGGTGGCCTTAAATAGAGCTGCAAACTCTGGGTAGCCCTCTTACCCTAAATATATGTGCTTACCCAAGAGTCAGACTCCTGAGATTTCATCATTGGTAACTTATTTCCTTGGATTACCCATTGTTCCTTTTATTCAGCCTTCTTTTAAAATGCAAATATTCCTGGGTGGATAATAAACATATTGCTACTAAAGCTTTACTATAAACACTTTCCAGTTCTTTCTTTCTGACAGAAGGGGGCCTGGATTATGCTAAGATCTCTTGAAGGAGGGATGGGGAAGAGCATCTAACCCTGAGTTGGACCGCCATTTGGACAATGCAGAAGGGACAAATCCTTAATCTTTTCTTTTCCATTACATAGCAAAGGGAATGAAAGTGAGGGAGATTGGCACTAGGTTTATGTATGTGTGTAAAACGTAGGCACGTGGAGCCAGTTATTCACAGAGGTAGAAGCAACTCATTTCTGACTTCAGACATGTTCCAGAAGTGGAACAAACCAAATTTTGCCAAGTGGTTTTCTTATTAAAGCAAGTAGACTTGAAGTTTTCAAAATTGCCCTTTCATTCCTATTTCCTGATTGTTTTTACTGGTGGTCTACAAGTTAAGACACATAAAGCCCCTGTTTCTTGCTTACCTGATAGTCATAATATAGATCTAGAATAGAAATTCTGGAAATACTCTTCAAATGAAAACAAGATAAATAGGAGTTTGAGAATGTGGTAAGATGAAAGAGATGTATGGTATGGTGTCAAACAGTAGTACCCAGTAAGTAAAATAGACACAAATATTCAATAGCTGGTAGAATTCATAGAAGTCTGCATATGTAACCTTTATTTCTTTATTTTAACACAAGTATTCACTAACTGGTAAAATTCCTGGAAATCTGCATATTTAACTTGTATTTCTTTGTCTACTATAGTGTTGCCAGTGATCTCAATGATCCTGATCTAAGAGAAGGTTGTTTCCAAAGTGAAGATATAAGTGAGCCATCCTCTGTCATGTGTCAAGCAAATTAATCCAAGGCTTTGACTTCTTCTTGGTCTTCTTTATCTGACTCTGATACCACTTTCCTGTTGGTAGTAATATCAGTCAGTTCCAATACACAGAACTCTGCCATTGTGAACATGATGTAGCATGAAAACAACTTTCGAAAATTCTCCCAGTAAAAATTCACTGTTGTGGATTCTATGTGTTGGGTTTTGCAACCAAGTATAAACTTGTATGTGGGAGAAGTGGTTGTGATACTGTGAAGTGTGGTTTGGAGGTACAGGAGCCCTCCTACCCTAAATGTGTTTTGTTTATTCGAGAGTCAGACTCCTGAGATTTAATCATTGGCAATTGAGTATTTGGATTACCTATTGTTTTATTTATTCAGACTTCTTTTAAAATGCAAATATTCTGGGATGGATAATAAACATATTGCCACTAAAACCTTTCTATGAACACATTTTCCGGTTCCTTCTTTCTAACAGAAGAGGACCTGGATTATACTAAGAAGATCTGTTGAAGGAGGAACGGTAAGGGGCCATCTGTATATGTAAGGGAATTATTTTACAATTGTGTCTAAAATAATTAGAATAGTTTTTAAAGTTTATAAATTAATGTATAGTATGCAAACATCACTTTCCAAATTGGCTAACACTGAATTACATGATATTTTTAAACTAAACTCTTTGTTATAAATACTTTCTGAAGTCTAGCACGTAAGCAGTTTGCTGGCACTTTGGGTGACCCAATTCCTCGTGGACCTTACAAGATAGTTACAGACAATACAAAAAATATGGGAAAAGTTAAATAATGCAAGCAATAATAAGAGTTAAATAATTATAAAATATGGGCACAGAGTAGTGCATGATTAGTTACCCAAAGAATGTACAAAGAGTAACTAGAGGCCGGGCATGATGGCTCACGCCTGTAATCCCAGCACTTTGGGAGGCTGAGGTGGGTGGATCATGAGCAGGAGTTCAAGACTAGCTTGGCCAAGACGGTGAAACCCTGTCTCTACTAAAACTACAAAAATTATCTGGGTGCGGTGACAGGCGCCTGTAATCCCAGCTTCTCGGGAGGCTGAGGCAGGAGAATTGCTTGAACCTGGGTGGCAGAGGTTGCAGTGAGCTGAGATCGCGCCACTGCACTCCAGCCTGGGTGACAGAGTGAGAATCCATCTCAAAAAAAAAAAAAAAAGAGTAACTAGAAGAAGTTTATAGTAAGAAGATATCACAGCAGAATAGAATGAAATTCAAAGTTTCAGGATGCAAGACAAAGTTAATTTACAAAAGGAATTAAGTAATTATTTAAATTATTAACAGAATTATCTGCCCAAGCTGTGAAATGTTTTATTATTAGATGGGTCAACATGGGTAGTAACAGGAACGTTCTGTAAAAATACATGCAGAAATCTAAGGCACCCAGACATATCTATTGATGCTATTTAAGTAGCAGTCTTCATCCGCTATTTGTTTCCTTAAGTCACTCTTGATTGGGCTAGTTTTGCTTCATCTGTAGAAGCTGAGTCAAATCGTCTGGCTAAAAAGTGAGAAATTAGGTTGCTGAGCATTGTGTAGATAATATAGCTAGGTGATGAAATGATCTTTTTATTTTTTTTCCGGAAGTTTAAAAAATTAGTGTGGACATATACTTTCTTCTTTAAGGGTATTACTTTGATAACATTAAAGACAGCCTCAATACCAATGAGAGAAATATCAAAATTCTATAACTTTCTGTTTCTCCCTGAATGTAGTATGAAAATGAATATTTGTCAAATTAATGTTGAGTTAGCCACATTGGTTTTTAGTCATAATACAAAAATGGAGAGATTTCTTATTAGGGGTGCGTTAGTGATTAACTATTGCTTGCTTATTTCCTTTAAACTCTTCTAGACTTAAACTGTCCTAGTCCTGCTCTAACATTATTCCAGATATAAGGCTACTCCCTCATCATTGAGAGTTTGCTACATGAACTTAGTTTTAGCAACCTTAGCCCACTCAGAGCTGGTGAACTACAAACACCTGCTGATTCACTAAAGAAGTGGGCCAGGTGTGGATAGGGGATAGTGGGGTCAGGAAGGCATGACGGTTGGTGGCTATATAGCCCAGGATGGTAAGGGAGGGACAGAGAATGTGCACAGAGCTTCAAGGCTGAGCTGCTTTCCATTTTGCACTAACTTATGCTTGTATATTCCACAGACTGACAAGTTCGTACACAGGCTTTAATAGCTATGCAGAGAAGAAAGTTTTTTCAAGGCAAGAAATCTGTAATATACGGGGGTGGGTTTCTAGAAGATTTAAGGGTAAGTGGCAAAGTAAGAAAAAAGAAGCGCTTCCCTACACAGTAAGTTAAAAGGTGAGAGAATATTTTTGACAGAAGTCAACTTACTTTGCTTCGTGTTCTTTGGCTTTTGGTTTATAAGGAAGGGAAATCAGTTCTTTCTGAAACAAAACAAAACAAAAATCAAAAAGGTAAAATTTTACTTCTTGCACTGACTGCAATTCACTCACTTGAAAAAAAGCTGAGGTAAAATCATCAGAGTTTATAGACTAGCTTCTTAAATCCGGAAACGGTGGGGTCAGAAATGTTGCACATTAGGGAGTTTGGGGTTTATTTAGGAGTGTGTGTTTTGTACATCCACAAGTTTACAAGATGCTATTACTATTTTTACTAGGTTTGTGTCTCTTCATTTAACATTTATTTTTGTATGATCTAGGCAAGCTCAATCATTGTAAACAAATATTAGCACCAAAATAGCCCATGTTAATATCTTACAGCTTTATAATATGTGAACAATAAACTCCACTGACAATAATACCTCATTTCTTATGCCAGGAGGGCTGCAAACTCTGGAGACAGTTTTGATTTATCAACGATTGCCAAATTATCTGATGTCTGTACCTTGCCCCACTCTGGTATATCGATGGCTCTGGACTATAGCTAGCTAGATTTAAGGGTTCAATCTATAAAACCTCTGCAAATTTGCCACAATTCATCCCTTGAGATAGATTATCCAAATGCCTCACTATTGGTCTCACCGAGATCCTTTCTTCTCTTTGTTTTCTTAAGAGTTGGATAATCTCTTCTCTTGTTTTAGCCTGTTTAAAGAAAGAAAAAAGTGGGTATCTTGACTCAATAATGAAGACTTATGCCTATGGAAGGTAGAATTCTTCCATTTTCATCTTGTATTGGCAGAATTTTAAAATATTTTTCCCAAGATATATTTATATGTTTTTGTTTGTGCCAAAATCCTGTTTTTATTCAAGACAATGCTGCTTTACAAAATGCTTTTGTAAAATATTAAAATGCTGTAAAATTTTATTGTAAAATAATAAAATGCTGCTTTACATAATTGACCCTAAATGGAGGGTTTCTTCCCACCTAATAATAACTAACTTTTTAAAAATAATGAATATTTATTAAGACCTTTCCACATGAGCTATGATAACAGCTTTATAGACATTATGTCATTATTTTCTTATAACAACTCAGAAGTTTGACAGTACTATTACTCCATTGTATAGGTGAGGAAACTGAAGCTTAGTAAGGTTAAATAACTTACCCAAGCTATTAAGTGGCAGAACCAGATTTGATCCTAGCTCCATTTAGAAACAAAGTTCAAGCGATTGACCATCACACTAAATTGCCACTAATGGTGGCAAGAAGCAGCATTAGCAAGCTCAAACAGCATGCTGCTTGCATAGGGCAACAAAGCTTTATTCTTTCATTTCTCCTGTTTCTAGCTTAGATATTGAGACCTGCCCATTCTCAGGTGAGTTTACCTAAGTGCAAAAAACTAACTTAGTGCAGGCATGAAGATTTATCAATACATAAACTATAAAAATAGGCAAATATAGGTTCCATTTTTTCCATAGAATTCATCTATATTAAGTTTTGGAGATACCCAGGCAGAAAATCACCTCTGGTGTATATGAGAACAAAAGAAAAGCCTGATAATCTAACATCAAACAAATAAAACTTATAACTTCAAATGGCCAGATAAAATCAAAGAAATTCTGTTTAGATCAAGTTGCAAGAAAGAAATAAGAAGTGAGAATAGACGTAGATTTGTCATAGCCAGGTGCAGATTCTGTCATCTACCTAAATTTATTGAGTACTTTCCCAAGGCTGCTGTAACAAAGTACCACACACTGCATGGCTTAAAACAATATTTATTGTCTCACAGTTCGGGAAACTAGAAGTCCGAAATCAAGGTATTGGTAGGGTTGTGCTCCCTCTGAAACCTACAGGGTTTCTTTGCTTCTTTCTAGTTTCTGGTGGTTTGCTGGCAAGCTGTGGCATTCCTTGGCTTGCATAACTCCAATCTTAGCCTTTGTTGTCACATGGCATTCTCTCTGTGTCTCCGTCTTCACGTGGCAATCGTCTTATGAGGACTCCAGTCAGACTGGATTAGGCGCACAACCTACTCCACTATGGCCTCATCTTACTAATTTCATCTGCAAAGACCCAAAAGGTCACATTCTGAGGTACTGCTGGTTAGAACATCAGTGTAATTTTTGCGTGTGGGGGGCATATTTCAACCCGTAGTAAGCGCCTATGAGGTAACATTATGTGTTAGTGGCTGAACATAACACAGTTTCTGCCTGCAAGGTGACTGCAGACTCACGTAGCAGAAGACAAGTAAATAGTTTCAAGTGTGCTATCTGGGGTTAATATAGGGTACAATGAATGAACTGAAGATCAAGGACACTTAATTAAGAGTAGAGTTGGGGACTCAGAAGATGTCCCAGAGGAGGTGATGTCTATGCTTTAGACCTGAAAGTGGTAGTCGTCAGATAATGATGGAGACAAGATGGGGAAGAAAGCTTTTAAGGCAGAGGAAACAGCGTGTGCAAAGCCCCAGAAGCTGCTGGGTGTCTAAGTACTTCTTCAGGGCAGTTCCTCAGTCCTGATGGCTCATCTGCTAAAGAAGCTAGAAACCTCAGGCATGATCCATCAAGACACACAGAGCAGGGACCCATGCTGGGCAGCTGTAATCAGTGTCTGGGCTGGTGAACTGGGTGCCTTGGCTTTGCATCATTCTGTTTAAGTGATATGAAGCTTGCCTTTTATAAGCCTACAAAATTTTAATTTTATGTATTTTGAGATAGGATTTCTACATTTTACTTGAGTTTTAAGCAACATATATCACAGTTACTGAAAGAAAAATATTCAGAGTATATTTGAAAACTGTTTCACAATATCTGTCAACTTGCATAGATTGAATAAAATAATGTCCGTAAAGACCTGGGATATTTTCAATGGAGGTATTCAATGTTAGTTTCTTTTCCAACTTTTCCATTACACATGTATTCAATCAGTATTAATTGCTCTCATACTGTGATTACGTAGCACTTTATACCTTTATTATGGTATTGATCTTACTTCTACTTTATCTCTTAGTTGCTATCATGTCTCTTTCAGAATCTTACTCATCTCTTTATCCTTCCTTAGAGCTTAGCAGTGCTTTGTATGTGATACTCAATGAATTTTTGTTGAATTGATTGAGTCATGATGTATGAATGCAATCATTGTACTGTGTAATCCACAATTACTGGCCTAAGCAAAACACAAAAAGTTTTGGAAAGTGAAATTGAACAGTGGGTAGATTTAGTTTTCAAAAATCCCCTATGAACAAAATTATATGATTATTTTCTGTGTCACTATTGGGAAATCATTGACAAGTTATATTGTCCTGTGCTTCTAATATAAAAAGACAAACATTTAGTTACAAGATTCAAAAATAATAGTAGAATAACAAATATATTCATTCATTTTTTTCCTTGACTTCAAGTTCTTTTTTATTATAAATGACTTTGATACTTAAATATCACATATCACATAATACACCAGAAACAAATATTTCAAATATGATCTGATTTCTGCTTCCTGGACATGTTTCCTGGAAATAAATAACAAAACTAGTGTAAACAATTATGTTATCTAAGCAAAAACATTGTGGAATATTCCAGGAAATCTCTGCCAGGAAAGCTAAATACAATTCAGTGGTAAGAGAAGATCCTTATAACTTATATTATTAGTAAGGAAGCATAACTTACTTCTTAATTTCATATTGACAAAAAATTTTCATTTCTAATTATAGTGTTTTGGTTGGGTTTGTTAATGGAATTTTATATTTATAAGACTTTATAATTGTTTAATTAATTGTTAATACAAGGGTTTCAGAATTTATATTTATAACATCTTTGACCATAGAACATCTTTGACCATTGAATATTAACTTACATTTATATATTTTATTTATGATTTATATATACAGTATTCCTGAAAAAATAAATTGTGAAATAAAATTGATTCCAGAAAATTAGGATGTGATATAACATATACATTTAATGTCTCATAGATGGTTAATGAATTTTAGTGTCACCTCAAGAGTTAAATTGTCTGGTTCTCTCCTTTTGACTTTTCAGAGCCAAATGACTCGAGTGGCAATATGTATTAGTGGAGTCAAATACATTTGGTTTGAATCCTAGTTCCGCTGTGTGTTGAATGGCAAGTTCTAGCTTAACTGTCCCGTCTGGTCCTCCTTTCCCCACCACAACTATGCAGTAATCACTGACCTTTAAGTTAGAGCTTTGTGATCTTGGGTAAACCAAAGAATCCACAATCCCAGTTGTGGATTTCTAATCTGTGAGGAAGGTTGTTGTGAAAATTGGAGATAAAAATTGCTTAATGAAATGCATGACATATGGTGAACATTTAATAAATGGTAGCTATTATAACACAATTATTATTAGAAAATTTTTCTTTCAGTGCTTTTAAAATCTTGAAAAGAGTAAGAAGAAAGAGGATAGATTGCCTGCTTTTTGTGTACAGGCATGAAGGAATTCTTATGATCCAACCTGTGACCTATGGTTCAGTTGGTGAATACAGTTTGAGGGAGGAAAGGAGAAACAAGGAGAGATGTTTAAGGTATGATTTGTTATTAAATATGCAGTGCAAATTCTTCTGACCACGAATTTTCTGGTGTGTTACTTTCTTTTCAGTTAATATTCAATGATTAAAAAAAGCTCTTAATAAACACTAGACTTTAGAAGAAAGGCCCTTTCTTCTCAAGACCTGGTTCCCACATGCAAACTGCATTTCTTTCTTGGACTATGATTGAAATTTTTAGACTGAAACATTCATCAAAAATAATACGAGGGGCCAGGTGTGGTGGCTCACGCCTATAAGCTCAGCACTTTGGGAGGCTGAGGCAAGAGGATCATGAGATCAGGAGTTCGAGACCATTCCTGGCCAATATGGTGAAACCCTGTCTCTACTAAAAATACAAAAATTAGCTGGGCTTGGTGGTGCTTGCCTGTAGTCACAGCTACTCGGGAGGCGGAGGCAGAAGAATTGCTTGAACCTGGGAGGCAGAGGGTGCAGTGAGCCAAGATTGTGCCACTGCACTCCAGCATGGGTGACAGAGTGAGACTCCGTCTCAAAAAAAAAAGAGGCAGTGTTTTTCTCTGATTATCTGTCTACATAGCCGGAAGAAATTTTCTCTTGATTACCATAGTATGAAAGCTGAATTACTGAATATAATATAAAAAAATGTCTTACAAGAGTATTGAATTGATTGCAGGATCAGTTCTTTGCTTAGATACTTGGCAATCATCTCAACACACAGAGAATCAAAGAACTCTTGAAATCAGTATGAGATAGTAGTTAAACTCCTTGGCTCCACTGTCAGATGGACCTGAGTTCAAACCCTTATACTATAGTTTAGATGTGTGACCTTGAAAAAGTCACGTTCCAGCTTCAGCTTCCTCATCTGTAAAATGGAGGCAATCATAGTGCTTTCAACAGAATTATTCTCAGGATTAAATAAGAATGTGAGTAAGACGCAATGCACACAAAATACATTTAGTGCATGCAGTTAGTTCTCAAAAATATTATGTAGGGAGAGGAGCAGATAGTTGGAGAGAAAAAAACATTAAGAGGATAGACTAAGAAATACTGAGGGAAATGTTTTAACTCAAATGAGAATTTAAAAACTTTTAAAATTCTTTCCATTGACTATAAGTGCAATGTATGTACATGGTATAGACATCAGAAAATGTGAAAAAATACACAAAGGTAATGATGTTTACATAAATCCAACTGCTAAATCTAAAATATTAATGTAAGTTTTGATTTTTTTTTTTTTTTTTTTTTTTTTTTTTTTTTTGAGACGGAGTCTCACTCTGTCCCCCTTGCTGGAGTGCAGTGGCCGGATCTCAGCTCACTGCAAGCTCCGCCTCCCGGGTTCAGGCCATTCTCCTGCCTCAGCCTCCCGAGTAGCTGGGACTATAGGCACCCGCCACCTCGCCCGGCTAGTTTTTTTGTATTTTTTTTTTTTAGTAGAGACGGGGTTTCACTGTGTTAGCCAGGATGGAAGTTTTGATATTTTAAACATGTAAAAATTTCAGAAGACCTTAAAGAAGCTCCAAAATAAATAATCTATGGACTTAAAAATAATTCATCAAAAGGAGAAAGGCAGCTAAAGAAGCTGTGGGCTAGGTTAAAATGATTATAACAAACATTATGCACAAAGGCATGGAATCAAGCTAGGTCCTCATCAACAGTGGACTGGATAATGAAAATGTGGTACATATACACTATGGAATACTATACAACCATAAAAAGAATCAAAAGCATGTCCATTGCAACAACATGGATGTAACTGGAGGCCATGATCCTAAATGAAATAAAGCAGGAAGAGAAAACCAAATGCCACATGTTCTCACTTATAAGTGGGAGCTAAGCATTGGATACACATGGACATAAAGATGGGAGCAATAAATGCTGAGGACTACTAGAGGGGTTAGGAAGGGAGGGGCACAAGGGCTGAAAAGCTACCTATTGGGTACTATGCACACTACCTGGGTGACAGGATCATTCATACCCACATCGCACAATATTTCCATGTAACAAGCCTGCATATGTATGCCCCGAATCTAAAAAAAAAAAAAAAAAACAATTGAAGTTGTTTAAAAAATTATACACAGGGATGAAAAGAAGATAGCAGTCCACTTAAAAATAAATGAAGATCATGGTGATAAGTCTTGCTTGACTGAATCAAGGTGTGTGCTTTGAGGACTAGAAAGATGAAGGGTAGGATAGGTTAATGGGATATTGAGAACCTTGACATAAAGATATCTCTATTTGAACTTGATTTAGTGGAAGATAGGCACTTTGTTTTTTACCTCAATATAATTAAGTTAGAAATAAAAACTGTTAAAAAGACCTCATACACTGAAAATTAAAAAGCATACTTCTAAATAATTGATAGGACAAATTAGAAATCTGAATAGAAATGTAGAATACTTAAAATGGAATAATAATGAAATACTATATAGCTTATGAGATGTAGCTAAATAGAACATTGAGGTATATTTATAGTTTTAAATTTGTATATTAGGAAAGAGTGGAAAATTAAGAAACAAAGTGAAAAGAGAAGGAAGTTAGAAGGAAAAGAACTAACCCAAAGTTGAAGGAAGAAGTAATAAAAATCAACTATGGATAACTAGAAAAAAAAAAAAAACCGATAGAGGACAATCAAGCTAAAAGTTGGTTTTTTTGAAAAGACTATTAAAATAGATAATACTTTGGCATAATTACTTATGAAAAAAGATGCAAATGATTAGAAATGAAAAGAGGTAATAACTAGAGCTACAGCAGAGATGAAAAAGGTGTTAAAAACACTATGAGTCTTTTGCACCAGTAAATTTGAACATCCAGATGAAATGAACAATTTCCTAGAGAAAATAAACTTACCAAAAGAATTCAAGAAATAACAAATAGGCCATTTTATCTACCAAACACGAAAAGGAAACAGGCAAAAAACCTATAGGCTTATGCAGAGTAGGACCATCTCTATCACCTCAACTAGTTTCAATTACCATTTACTAATCAATTGGGTTCATCTAGGGTTAACTTGAGTATAGTCACTGTATTACTCATCACTTCCAATAGTGATGAGTGCCTCAGCTTCAGTAATTTAGCCTTTTCATAGGTTTCTGACAAATGTTGTAAAGCAAGTAAATGGTTGAAAATTCCTTTCCCAGTTGATTTCTGATGGGGTTCTATTTGAGACCACTTCTAGACTTTCAGAATCATTATGACGTTCACCTTTTAATCTACACTTGTAGAGGGAGGCATCATGATAAATTTAATTACTTTTTATTTACCTACAAAGGGTTAATTAATTTTGCCTACACATTTCTGCTCTGTGTTTGAAATTTCAAAATATAACTTCAGTGGTAATTTTTCTTTTTGCAGGCAATAACTAAAGATATGATGAAGGGGGCCGGGCACGGTGGCTCATACCTGTAATCCCAGCGCTTTGGGAGGCTGAGGTGGGTGGATCACAAGGTCAGGTGATCGAGACCATCCTGGCCAACATGGTGAAACCCCGTCTCTACTAAAAATACAAAATTAACTGGGCATGGTGGTGCACACCTGCAATCCCAGCTACTCAGGAGGCTGAGGCAGGAGAATCGCTTGAACCCGGGAGGCAGAGGTTACAGTGAGCCAAGATCGTGCCATTGCACTCCAGCCTGGGCAACAGAGTGAGACTCCATCTAAAATATATATATATATATATATATATGATTAAGGGAAAATAATATGAGTCTCATTTTAACACTATGAGCAAGCCAATCTTGTGTCTTTTAATCAGGATGTGGATACTTGAGTGATCATGCCTTTAATAATCTAGTCATCATGCTTTGAGAGTTACCCTTTTAGTCAAAGCATTTCCATTTAATACTAATGCTTATTTTGAACCTGCTAAAATTTTATTTTTCAATCATGGTTTGGATATAAAAAAGGATTAAAAAAAGGAAGTGGGGGAAGCAGAGAAGATAAAAACAAATTTTCACTGAGTAACTACTAGATGTTGGGCGTTGTGTGAGTTCCTTATAGGTTATCTAATTTAATCTTTATAGCACAGTGAGATGGGCATTACTATTATTACCTCTTTACAGGTAGAAGAAACTCAACCACGTAAAAATGAACTTTTATCAGGGTCACTTAACTAATTAGTAACTGGCAGAGCCAAGGATTCAAACTCATTTCCAGTTCTGTTGGACGTTATTTCCTGTGCTTCTTTTGCCACACTTCAAACACACAGACTTCAAACACACACACACACACACACACACACACACACACACACACACACACACACACAGAGTGACAGAATGGTTTCTTCATTCAGTCTTTACTCTAAAAATGAGTTATTAACCATGGTGAAGAAGAAAAATATATTCTCTGCTCTCACAGAAACATTCTTATTCTCATAGAAAATGCTTGCTTATCAGAATACAGCAGGTGGAGCTAATCCAGCTTGAGCTCAGCCTTGATCACAGTTAATTTACTTATTTAAAGGTATCATGTGGCTCTTTGCAAAATGTGGCTAAAGGGTAAAGATAGTTGAATTATAGTGGTATTTATAAACTGAGGAGCTTTCTAAGATCGTAGTGTAAATGAAATATTTATGCAAGGATTTAAAATTATAAATTAATTGTAAAATGGGAATTACATTCCAAATTCAGAATATTACCTAGGCAGAGCCGAAGTTCTATGGTTTGACAGAAATTGAGAACATTATCTGATTTTTATTTCCTTGAGGCTCCAGAATTTAAATTTTTTTTTTTTTTTTGAGACAGGGTCTTGCTCTGCCACTCAGGTGGAAGTGCAGTGGCATGATCAGGGCTCACTGCTACCTCCACCTCCTGCCTCCTGGGCTCAAGCAATCCTCCCACCTCAGCCTCCCGAGTAGCTGGGACCACAGGCACATGCCACCACAACTAGTTAATTAAAAAATGAATTTTTTGGGGGGGGGGTAGAGATGAGGTCTCCCTATGTTGCCTAGGCTGGTCTTGAACTCCTGGGCTCAAGCCATTCTCCCACTTTGGTCAGCCTCCTGAAGTGCTGGGATTACAGGCATTAAGCCACCATACCTAGCCTTAATTTTTAATTCTATCCCAGTGGTTGAGAGTTAACTGTCTATAGGTGTACTAGGGAATTTCAGTTCATATTCAGAAAGAATCTGACTCCTCAGTGGGTTCCATTTCATTTTTATGTTACAAATGCAATCATGAGGAAGGTGAGAATTATGATTGACGTAAGGTTTTTATCCATTTAGTGTTTTATAAAGTCTCACATTTGGGCATGGTTTCAAAAAGCAGTATGCACCTTGGCTTGCTGATTTTGATAACAGAATGCTTCAACTATGAATTTACTCTATGAATTTACTACCATTCCCTGTGCTTATTAACTGAGATCTGCTGTGTTGATTCTACAACTACCATATAGGAAATTTATATCTACTCTAATAATAAGATACAGAACTGTTGGACCTCAAATTATCTACTATGTGCTTTAAAAGACAGGCTGAATAATCAGTGAGAAGGCTTTCTCCAGTATAATCTGATTTTAAAAGATAGACCTAACTATAGTAATCTATGGGAGTGGATGGAAGATGTTAGAGGGTTATTAATCAGAGAAAGGAAGAATGCTGACTTGCAGGAAAAAGATGCAGATCTAAGCACCTTTCTATACCTCCTGGAAATTGCTTAATCTTGGCTCAGTTCCTAGGTCTGACATATATACTTTTCATTTGAAAAATAACAACTTACTAAAATGAGAAAAAAATTAGTCATTACATAAGAGGGAGTCGATACAATTTTTCTTAAATGCAGATTTCAATCAAGTATGAATTTATCTGTTGTGAGGAAAAAAATGTGCATTTTCTTGGTTCTGTTACACATATTTTCTTAGTTCTGTTACATATATTTTACCAATAATAATTGCCTGAAGAACGTAGATTTTAAAACATTTACACACAGACAAAATGCATGCAGAGCAGAAGTATAAGTGATTTTAAAAACTGCTTTAATATTGCTTTAAAAGGTACTTATCTTAAAAAAGTAATAAGTGAGATTTGTATTTTAATATTGAGAAAATATGAGCATAAAACGAACACTGCATTTTAAAATTCAACAAAGTATACATATATTGAGGATAACTCTGTATGATTGAATTATATGTTATTGATGATTCAGTTTGCAATAATTATCAAAGCTCTTCCTTGGCAAAGACTACTGAGTCTTGAAGATTTTCATTGTTGCTGGTTATACAGACATGATGAGCGGGTGAATGATACTGACCTCATCTTTCAGATATGTCTCTCCTATTCTGCCCATAAGGACTTAAGAAGGAGAGGTTAGGGATTCCCCACACAGATCACCTCAAACTTCTTCTCTGGCTCATACTTCTTCTTTGAGTTTCTAACCCATATATTCACAGGCCTGACAGTTCACCTGCTTTTCTCAAAGGCATCTCAAACTAGATAAGTCTAAACTAAACTTGTAGTCCCTCCCCTACAAACCCCCAAACCTGATCTTCATCTAATGTTTCTTGTTTCAGAGAATGACACTACCCATCCTGTTATACAAGCCGCTAGAAAACTGAGTTATCTTTGATACTTTGCTGTACCTTACCTTCCATATCTAGTATATAACCCTAATTACTAGTTATTTTACTTCCTAACTATCCCTTCAATCTATCTGGTCTTTCTCATCTACCTGCATGATCCTAAATCACATCGCATCACCTCCCGACTGAAGTTTTGTGATGGCCACCAGTCGTTTTTCCACTTCTGCTCTGGCCACTTTCAATACATTCTCCATATTACAATCTGCTGATCTTTCTCAAGCAAATGTGATATTCTCATTCCCCAATTTAAACCCTTCAGTGTCTTCTTACTGTTCTTACTGGAGCCTAACCTTCCTCCCACATTACCGCATTAGCCATTCAGCTTTTGACATGCGCGGTGCCTGTTCCCAGCACAAGGGCTTTGCACGTGCTGTTTTCGATGTCTGGAATGCTCTTCCAATGTTCCCTCCACCCTGTCTTTCTGACCCAGTTAATGCCTGTTCTTCCTTTAAAT